CTGTAAGTTCTTGAACTTTACACATGTCAGAGTAAACACCCTGTAATTACTTATACTTTACACATGTCAAAGTAAACACCCTGTAAGTTCTTGACCTTTACACTTGTCAGAGTAAACACCCTGTATAGTCTTATACTTTACACATGTCAGAATAAACAACCTGAAAGTTCTTAAACTTTACACATGTCAGAGTCACACCCTGTATTGTCTTATACTTTAGACATGTCAGAGTATGTTTACTCAGGCTACACTCTTACAGGATGTTCCCTGTATGTTATCGGACTTTACACATGTCAGAGTAAACTGTGTAATTTCATAGTTTACACATGTCAGATTAACATCTCATCCTTGTCTTTCATACTTAAATCAACTATTGTCAAAGAAATACCTTTTATGGTATAGAAGTAAAATGTATCCATAATTTTTAAGTATATGTTTAATTTTTTTTTAATATTGTACATAAATTTTATCGGAGCCTAAATTGCATTTAAAATAAAAATATTTTTCTTAAATGCTTTTAAATAAACTGCTAATATTTGAACTATTTTATTCATAATATAATTAACTTTTACTACTTAAGTATACTTTTTTCTGAATATTTAAAATTTTATTTAATTGAAATAACGGTATTTGAAAATAAAAATCTAATTCTTGAAATTATAAATACCTTTAATATACTATAATATTTTTGTTGCCTTTAAATAATAAGGTTCGTTTAAAATAAGGTGAGATATATTATAATGGTAACCAAATAATATTTTGTGGATTAATTCACTTCATTGATCTATTTCAAACAAGCAATGCAATCTTATATATGTTTGTAATTAAAATTTAAAATAAAGTTTTTGTATCCCAGCCCTTTTTTATTTAGGATTTTGTTATATATTTGTATTTCGGTGCAAATAATATTTTGTGATATCCGTTATGTTTAGAAAGAATTTTTTTTATATATCGTTTATACATCGAATTTTACCATTTTTATTTTAATAATTGCATCATTATTGAATTTTTCCATTTTTATTTTAAAATAAAGAATAGTCTAATTCAATGGAAATCATATTTACACATGTCACAGTCTGACAATGTCAGTAATTTATATAAAAAACCGTCTAAACACTCACGTAGACGCGCCCTAAGAGCGCAAGCGCAATACCAGTCCCATTCACCCTGATGAAGGGCACCCGATGGACTCTAAACTAGACGGCACAGCCACCGGATGAACATACGTGTTTTTATTTTTTAATTTTTATCTTTATGATATCTCATGAAAGTTTGAATAATTTATGGTCAGTAATTGTCTATAGATTTATTTGGTCAAGTTTCAACATGTCTATTTCTAATAAGTGTGTTTACAGCCATATAGAGGTCAAAATTATATCGATATTTTTGTTATAATTTATTTCCATTGAATTAAATTATATAATTATAAATACAGTACATCTAAAAACGTACACAAAAATAATTATGCAACTAATACTGTGGATTTCTACGTCTGAAAAACATAGACAAAATCTTATATCTATTCTTTCAGCGGGTTTAGACAGCGTGAATTCGCTACAAAGCGATTCCATAGCGAACTTCAAAAGTGTATACTGACATCATTCGATAAGTCAATTTTGAAGTTCGATATGAAATCGCTTGGTAGCGAATGTACTTTGTCTAACCAACTAGAACATGGTCATCTATAGTAAGAAACTCACGAATTAGTGATACTGCACTGAGTTTCACATAATTATCGCCTTTAATTCAATTTATACTTTACTGTAAACGAAATAATAAATTATAAAATTAAAATAGCATTGAGCAATTAATATTTGCATTTTTAAACACATTCATAAAGTTCTCTGCAAATATTTATCACATACAAGCTATATCTAAATGTTATCATATTTTAAATCCTCTGTCCCTTCCCATAGTTGTCTTATAAGGTAAAGATGGGGAAGGATAGTGGATTTGACGGAGAAGGGGATGCATATATAGTAGGCAAATACCTCAATCTATGCGTCCCCTCGTCCGTCGATTAAAGATAGGCAAGGCTTCTGCAATACGGATGTCTATGGGCAATGGTCGCTTCGCTATTTTGGCGAATTCGACGATATAAATAAATCGCGTAATTATATCTGTTATTAATAGTATAGATTTAGTTAATAAAATACTTTGATAAAGTCTAATTCTGCTAAGATTTTTGTTGCTATACATTGTCAATTTTAATTCAATAATTTGGTGCATTTAAGCAAAAAAAATGTTTTTTTTTTGGTATAAAACATTGTAATATTTTTTATTTAAAAAGATATCATCGTTAAATCAGGCTTATTTTTGCTGGATTTGTGCCAAAATCATTTGCCATCTAATCGAAAGTTTGCTTTCATCGAACCGATTGTATTTATTTGTAATTTTACATTGTATAAATAAATTATTTATATTCGAGGAGTGTTTTATTTTTTACACAAGACTTTCGCCAGTGGAAATACACGCGATTCCGTAAAACAAGTCTCAGTGGAAATAGGCTCTTATATCTAAAAAAAAATTAACTTTATTAAAGTTTTTGAGAAATGCGAATGTTCTAGCTGAAATTTGTCATAGATATAGAACATAGTCTGGAAGGACATATAGGCTACTTATAAAGTTTTTCTTTTTCCGCGCGGACCGAGTCGCGGGCAACAGCTAGTTCTATTTAATAAAATGAAAACTACATTGTAAAATATATTATTAAATATATAAAATTATTATTATTTACCACTTAAAACTTTTTTACTTAACACTTTATTCTTTTTCTTTTTGATTTCCTTCTCTTCTACGCTCTTCTCTTTCATGTTATCAGCTTTACGTTTTATCTTACTTATCTTTCCGATGACATTTTTAAATCTGTCATCTTTTTTCATAAGACTTTTGTTGACTTTCTTCAATTCATCTTTTATTGATGCATCAATGTTCTCACTTTCTGGCTGAAGACGATCATCTTCTTTCTTGTCCTTGATTTGTGCTTGGATTTGTTTTATCTTCTCGAGTTTCGCTTTCTTTGCTGCTTTTACACGCTTACGGCGCATTTCTTCCAGACTGCAAAAGAAAAATCAAATATTAAAAAAAAAGTTTCGAATTTTGACCTGGATTTAGATATTAATTTTAAGCATTCTATACACGATATTAGGTCTACATGTATTAACATTTGTTTCCATCCAAAGCCATAATAATACTAGCAGGGAAATGTTCAATTCTTTTTCATTTCAGGAAAATAACTAGGTGTCTCCCGTGACTTCATCCGGAATTTAAAAAAAAAAACTTAATTAGTAGCCTATGTGTTCCAGACTATATTCTATATGTATGGCAAATTTAATCGAAATCCGTGCAGCCGTTCTAGATATATCTTCAAACAAATATCCATGTATCCATCCATCCATCCAAACGTTCGCAGTTATAATATTAGTAAGATTAAATAAAATGAAGATATATTGTAAAATACGGATGGTTTGAATCCTGTGTGCTCACCCTTGCTCCATAAGTTCAGGATCAACCCCCGCCATGATCCATCTCTTATGCCTGTAGTTGCGCCTGCGCTGCTCAAACTCCTCGTTGTCCAGCTGCGCCTCCTGCTCCCTTCGCGCCACACTCACAGTTGTAAACACCTTTACCGCTTCGTCATCTGGTATTCAAATAAAACTTTATTGTATCAAGCATTTTTAAAACAATACTTTATTAACTGCTTGATTCTATGGTGGTTGTTTAAACAGTCACTTAGTGTAGACTAAAGGTGACCTTAAATGTCACATTAAAAATTCTCAATGCTGCAGTTAGAAATTAAATAACGCTAATAAATCTATTGTTTTCTTATACTAGCTGTCGCACGCGATTCTGTCTGCGCTAGATTTATAAAAAAAACTTAATATGTATTCTTCCAGACTGTGTTCTACATCTATATGAAATTTCATCGGGTCCATTGAGCCTTTCTAGAGATACCTAGTAACAAACATCCCCACATTCGCATTTATAATATTAATAAGAAGTAAGATTCACCATCAATCTTGTACTCGCTGAGTTTTGTTTTGATCTGGTCTTCGATCTCTCCGAGCCGCAGGATGTCGTACGGCGTGATGAGGGATATAGCCATGCCCGTCCTCCCGGCGCGCGCGGTACGACCTACTCTGTAATATTACAAACATACAGATTAATTATTAAAATTAGGTAGTTGCCAGCGCCCAGTTACTAGAGTCAAATCTCGGACTTTATAAGCCACTCCTGTGTAGAAATGCACTCTACACAATACACACATTGTACACATTACACGGTACATATTGCACAAGTACACAATACACATTGCGCGGTACACACAACAGTGTAATGCAATGCCTAGTTTGGGCATCACTAGATTACCCAAAATAACCATAAATGGTAAGTTAACATGAAATTTAATTTGATTTTTCAGTAATGTGTAATTTTTGTGTTAGTATGAGGTTATTGCTTTTGGTTTAATCTTTATAACTTGTAATAAAAAAAAAAATATTTTTTGTTTCTTTCTTACATATTATAACATAAGGCGCAGTATACATTACACATGTCATAGTACACATTACACATGTCAAAGTAATCTCACCTGTGTATATATTCCTTTGGTTCTAACGGCAGCTTGTGGTTAACTACAAGATGCACTGAAGGTATGTCGAGGCCTCTCGCAGCAACATTGGTGGCTATGAGAGTGCATTTCAAATTACTACGGAACTGCGCGAGTGCCGCCGCGCGCTCCCTCTGCCGCATGAACCCGTGTAAACATACGTTGTCCATGCCGATTGAGTTTAACATCATTGATAATACTTGACACTCTCTGAAAAACGAGAAAAATTAGTTGACACTTGAGAAAATATTCCTGAAGACAACGAGAAATCGTCTTTGAAAGTAAATGCATAGATAGCTATCGCCCAACTAAATTAGCGTGTGTGTTCTTCCAGACTATGTTCTACATCTATGCCATTCAGCAAGATTCATGCAGCAGTTTTTGAGATACCTTCTAACAAACATCCAAACATTCGCATTTATAATATTAGTAAAGTAATTTATGTATGTCACTGCATGTTATACAGTTAAGAGGAAAGTACTAAACTGTATATATTCTAAGTTTAAAGCTTTGAAATAGAACGATGACTATCTTATATTGTAATATTAGCTGTCGCTAGCGGCTCCGTCCACGCGGAATTAAAAAAAACGTACTTATTAGCCCATGTGTTCTTCCCGACTATGGTATATGTGTGCCAAATTTTATTGAGATTCATCCTAGAGATACCTTCCAACAAACAAACATCCATCCATCCAAACACTTGCATTGATAATATTAGTAAGATTATTGAAATGTTAATTGGTAAAGGGTAAAAAATTATGAATACTAACTTCTTAGTATCGGTAAACACAATAATATGTGCACTGGGTTTAGTCTCACGATATTTGCGTAACGCCTGCACGAGGTAAACATCACGCGCGTACGCCGGACACACCACGTAACGCTGGTCTAATGTATTCACTGTCAGTTGTGTGTCCGTCTCCGACCATACTGTGAGTCGCTGGAGAAATAAATTTTATATGAAACTAGCTGTCGCCCGCGACGCTTTCCGCGAGGGATTAAAAATAGATGTTGGCCAATTCTCAGACCTACTCAATATGCTCACAAAATTTCATGAGAATCGGTCAAGCTATTTCGGAGGAGTATGGGAACATAAATTGTGACACAAGAATTTTATATATATATGATTTTAGATGAATATTAAGTTTAATTGTACATGCTAAAATATTATCATTTATTATTTTGCTTACAGTATTGATGAATAATTAGTAAGAAAAAAAAAGTGCATACTTACATCTTTATTTAACGGCAATTGTTTGGATTCTTTCACATCTTCTGTTATTGTTGCAGAAAATAGTAAATTCTGACGATTTTGTGGCAAAACTTCAAATATTGTTTCCAAATCCTCTTTAAAGGATTCACTGAACAACCTGAACATATAACAAAATATATAAAACAAGTTATCCCTCGCGTCTCCATCAGTGGGTGATTAAGAAAAAACTTAATTAGTAGCCTATGTGTTCTTCCAGACTATGTTCTACTTCCATGCAGCCATTCTGGAGATACCTTCTACCAAACATCCATCCATCGAAACATCATTTACAATTTTAGTAAGATTAACTATAAAACAAATAACAAACCTAAAAAAAACAAGCAATCTTATTAAAACAAAACTACTGAAGCATTTTTAATAAAATTTGGTACACAGTCTCAGAGCCTGAGAAAGGACATAGGCTAGTTTTCAACAAAGAGGTCATGGACACAGCTAATAAAAATTAATTAAATGATGTTACCTGTCAGCTTCATCCAAAACTAAATACTTAATCTTCTTCAAACTGAAAGTATCACAGCCAGTTATATGATCAGCCAAGCGTCCAGGCATTGCTACCACTATATGTGGCTTCTTGGCCAACTTTAGTGACTCCTCCATTTGGTCCGACCCTCCAGTTACTATACATACTCTGAGGTTCAATGGTTTGCCTAATATACTGAATTGATCAGCTATCTGAAAGATAAATATTTTATATTACTTTTAATGTTTATCTATACTAACACATAAGATTGGCGACAGGCAAGCGGCCAGTCGTAAACAATTAAACCAAAACCTTAAAGTTTTAAAACTTAAATGACTATTTCATTGTTACCTGGTAAGCAAGTTCATGAGTTGGTGTAAGTATAAGTGCATAGATTCCATAGGGATCCTCTGCTAGGTTTTGTAGTATTGGCAATGCAAATGCAAATGTCTTCCCTGACCCAGTCTTAGCTGCACCAATACAGTCGTTTCCAGAGAGAATGTCTGGAATGCATGCTTTTTGAATGGGTGTTGGAGCCTTTATACCTGAAAGATTAATAATATTGTATTAGTACTATTTTACTGCAGCACCTAAGCTGTTAAAATGTGAGTTTAATACAAAAAGGTTATTTCATATACTACTTACCAAGAGTATGAAGCTGCTTGATCAACCATGTTTTTACTCCTAACTCAGCAAACTCCTTTATGTCAGTTACGTTCATTTTGATTTAATAATTAAACAAGGCAAATGAAAATAGAAAAGCACGTTGCCATTTATTTACCAAAATATTTCTTTTTCTGTCAAAACCATTTCATTTCATTTTGACATTGACAATTTACAATAACAATAACTGACGTAATATTTTGAGATCCGCAAAAAATAAATTTAATCTGTCAGATGGTTTGGAGAAATATATTTTTACACAATTTTCTATTTCTTTGCAAGACAGAAACATAGGAATGAAATTGTTTGTAAATGCGCTTAAGTTTTTTGTTTCCGCGCCTGCCTTGTTACGAAAAATGGCGTTTGTTTAGAGTCTAAAGTTGGTCTAAAGTCTAAATTGTCTTTGGTGATGTAAAAAGGAAATGTTTGATGTCTCTGGTTTCAGTCAATCACTCGCGATTCGCGTGATGGGATGTTTGATTTTGTTTTGAATATTTGATTGGCGCATGTTACTATAATTTTATTTCTTATTAATCATAGCAATAGAAATATTCTTCAGTTAAAAACTTATACGTGTAATTAGAATTTATACAAAATAACAGCATTCATATCCTGCAACTATCAAGTGAAAATGTTAAATTATAATTAAAATATCATCAGTGCTTTTATGAAATACAAAAAAAACTGCTCTTTGGTATAAAAATTTTAATTTCATTGGTAAGTCTTCTTATTTAGTCTAATTTATTTATTAAAACTTTAACGGTGTCCAATTTCTAATGGCATCTATGTAGGTGATACTTTGTCACTATGTGTTACGTACGACATGGCGTTATTTTAGTCGCCTTGATGTGAACAAGTTAAGTCGGTACTTATCCCACTATTTCTGTCGCTACATGGTACTTTGCACCATTGCTCAACCACAATTGGTACATCCTATTTCTATATTGTTTTTCTTTTATTCAATTTAGGGGCCATCTTTGTGTGAATGCATTTAGATATAAAATTACGTGTAATAAAACACACAACACAAGGCATGTACAGTTACCGTAAATTAAGTAAAGGTTCTTTAAGTTATAATACAGTAAGTCTTTAGATTTGTCGCATATTTTTAAGCCTTCAGTCAGAGTTGCGTGTTTTCGAAGTTAAAAAAAAATCGTGTTGTTTTGTTTCATAATTTGAAACATTTAAACTAAACAAAGTGTATAACTTATTATTTGCATATAAAATTATATTAAATAGCTTCAGTGATTATTACACTTTTCTCACACTTTCTTTACTATTAATTAAAAAAAATAGATTAATTCTAATTAAATTGCACTTTAACAATTTTTACTTTATGTTTAAATTCAAAAATATTTTTTAAGTGTTTCCCTTAAACTAAAATGTATTGTTTCAGAAAAATTATAACAATGAGTCTCTTCAAAACAATATTATCCCTGGCTGTGAATAACACAAAGGTTGCAGTTAAAAATAATGCCAATGTAAGTATCATCTGTAGACATATTAAAAAATATATATATAATATTAATTTCTTGGATATTGTAGAAAAAAAAATATCTATGTTTTTGCAATCTGTGAATTACAAATTACTATCTATTAAAGATAGGAATAAAAGTATAATTAAAATAGATTTTTTCATCATTATTACTGTATTTCTATATCATTAGATAAGGTTTATACAATGGAGGTTGTTTTTGACTAAAAAAGAAAATAAATATAAGATTTTAACAGGAAAAAAATGTAAAAATCATAATAAATGTTCAATATATTTGAGAGTAAAATAATCATTAATTTTAAGATGTAATATAATTATGAATAATAAAGTTTATGTAACTTTCAGAATTGCATAATATAACAAATATTTGTTAACACAATCTATATATTTACATCATATCTTTATACAACCATAGTTTATCTTTCAATTTTTTTATCTTTTCATTTTGGGTCACGGTTTTCGTTGAAAGAAGTTTTCGAAATAGTTTTGAAAGTTAGGAGTGTATTTATTAAAAGTAATGTTTGTTTAAACCTAACACTTGATTTCAAACATTTTAAAAACAAACTGTAGTAATACATAAACAGCTTGATATAGTTTAGTTGACCATATATTTTAAACCATTCGTTCACCGGTAATTGATGGATGTCAACATAGACATAATATAATATATTATCACCCTTAACTTAGGGTAGGCTCCGAGCCCCTTAGTGGGGATGTATAGTGAGCTGATGATTTTCATAATATAGAGTGTGTATTACCCTTAAATATGTATTTCTATAAACTGCTGCAATATAATCATTTGTCAAGAATGCATTTCGGAAACCTAAACAATAATCATAGGGTGCAATGAAAGTGTTAACATATATTTAAATAATAGAAACACTATCAAATTTTTGATGTGGTCCCAAAGATTTTCCTCAAAAATCACTTTTGATATGGCCTTTGATATCTATTGCTTACACATTTATAAAACATATTGTCTTCTCTCTCATTCCCTGTGAATAAACTGAGAGAGCAATATCATTTTAAATACATGTTTTGTTAAAATAAACTCACGATTATAGACATCGCGTGATATGACGCGTGTCCGCACGTTATTTGCCTCCATTCCTAACTTCTCAGCCTAACGGTAACATGATTCACGACAGCAAGGAAAACAGTGTAATTTAATCTTTAGAATTGTATGTCAGTTCAGCACTCATTGAGCTATTTATCTGTCTACATCAACGGTGCCTAATCTGTGGTCCAGAAGCCAAAATAGGGTCCGCAAATGATTTTCAATTTAGCGGAGAACGAGCCAATCGAAGTGCAGTAAATAAGAGCGCATGGTTCAAGGGGATAATAACGTGGACCTAATACAAAAACATTGCGAGAAAATTATTCATAATATCGACATCGAAAACGAAACGATTTCAGATGAATTTCATTTTTCACATAGTAGTTCCTGCCAGTAATAATACAAAATTTTTCCCTCACCAAGAAAAGATTGGGAACCCCTGCTTTACCTAAACATTATTTACACCGTAATATACTACGTCTGTAATTAAATATAACTAAAGTGTTAATATATTTGTTAAATAATCTACTTCTAATTATTATCAATCTAATAATTGATAAATATTTTGATTATTACTATTAATAATAATATCTGTCTATATCTAGATTATTTTAATGTCCGGTTATAGCCAACATTTACTCTTCGCCGATATCATTAAAACTGCGTTAACTCACGGAAGCGTAACGCCTGTACAACGCAGCACCATGTTTTTATTATGTTTGATTCTGCATAAAACATACAAAAATGCGTATATCTTATGTATTACTATGTCTTATATAGTAATACATAAGATATACGCAAGCGAAATTAACATTAAACCCAGTAGGCCTAGCATGAATATTTGTGACAAGCACTATCGTATCATCATTGACAAAATTTTTATTGAAATGAGACGTAAAGTATACCAAAAATCATACTTCTTACTAATATTGTAAATGCGAAAGTTTAGACGGAACGGCTCAACGGATTTTGATGAAATTTGGCGCAGACTTAGAACATAGTCTGGAAGAACACATAGGCCACTTTTTTTTTATTTCCGTGCGAACGGAGTCGTGGAGGACAGCTGGTCTCATAATAATTGTCGTATCATTGACGATGACCATACGAAGGTGATTGTCACAAATATTCTTGCTAGACCCACAGATGTCCCCCCGGAATCGTAAAGTAAGCTGAAATGCAAGCCAGTTTCATTTCAAACATTACTTTTAATCCCGATCGATGTCAGCTTGCAGGCGTAAATCGTGCCAAGCAACATTGTATGTACTATTTATGTAACTGCGTCAATTCTCTGTGTTACCAGAACACGGCCTCAAGGTCAAAATAACCTGTAATTTGCTCATCTGATGTTATATGGTCCGATACTTCATGTTAATTTTAAGTGGTCAGACAACGTAGAGGATGGCTGATGCGTACGCTAGTGGCGTGAACTAAATAAATTTATAGATACGTTTTTGTGCGTTTGCATTCAGAAGTTATAGAGATTTCTCGATAAATATATTGTAAAATAAAATAAAAATATCACACTTAAGATTAAAAGGGTCGTAAATATATTTTATTAAAAACCAATGTGGTAACGAAGTATACAATTAGAAAATGAACGAAATTCTTCAAACTCTCACCATACGATAAGTGAAAATATCGATACCACACGACTGAATGTAAACACTAGTCCCATAAAAAATATAAACAATTAAAACCAAATTATATTGAAAATAAAGTATTATTTTTATCCGAAGAAATTATCGACACATTCACATCTCTATTATTCCATAAATACGCGAATAATTTAGTGTTGCTATAATGAAGTTCAAGGCCGTCTCTATCGATATATCAGTTGCATGCGCTGTACATTTCCACTGCGTCACTAACAACGCACGTGCGCTTGTTGCCAATTGCGATAATTGCAGTTGCACACCAAATGTTGGACCAAACATCCTCCTAATTACAGTACAGTAGGTAGAAATGTTGGGTCAAATGTTTGCCTAGTTTGTCAAACATTTACTGTTTTCATAACACGTACTTTTAAAAATGTTTGTTACATTAACTATGACTAGAAAATTCCGATAATACGATTAGTTTACATTTACTTAATTCAAAACAGCAATATTTAAATTACAGTAGCCACTTAACGTTTTTATAGGAATTAGAACACAGACGTAGATTTCAACCAAACTGAACAAAAAACTTAATAGTAACATTAATTTTTTTTAACAAGGATATAACGGTCTTTTAAGTTTTTTTTTATTTCTCATATGATGATGATAATGAAGTTATTGATGGACGCTTAAGTAAAAAACCAATTCATCGTTGACCTTTGACTGCCGTCGCGTGACTGCGACCACGCTATACAAGTATGCAGTAATATTTCACCGATTCTAACAAAGACTATCTATGAGCAAAAACGTTTAAAAATATTTAGATAATTAACACATATTACTTCTTACCATCTTACTAATATTATAAATGCGAAAGTTTAGATGGATGGATGTTTGTTAGAAAACATCTCAACGGATCTTGATGAAATTTGCCACTGATGTAGAACATAGTCTGGTAGAACACATAGGCTAGTAATCAAGTTTTTTTCTAATTACGCGTGGCTGGAGTTGCGGGCGAAAGCTAGTTTGATCAATCTGTTACATTTTCTTTATCTAAATTATTTCTTTTGTTAAAATGTTTTATAATAATTTTCACGTCTCTGAACTCGCGAAAGTCGGCAGTGAATGTGTTAAGCGATTCTAGAAACATATGCGTACACACTGTCTGAGAACGTGATCGTCTAATATCAGCCACAACATAGTATAGTATGAATATTTGTATATTACAATGTCGAGACATTCTAATGTGTTTCTGTGTGAAACTGATACGTTTCTGACGCGTTATGAGAAAACATAGTTGCATTCTTTGTCTGTGGTTGTATACAGGATGACCTATGAATTTAATATTAAGATAAAACTAAATAAATAAAACGAAAATATTTGTTTTGCATTAATTTTGATACGAATGTTTTGTTTCTTAACACTTCGTACATTAGTCATGTGTTTGAATAAAGCTAATTATAAACATACGATTTTTTTTACAAATCTTGTCTAAGCGTAAATGATATTTCCTTGAACACTTAAAATAAATTGGACCTATTGTTGGTTGATAAAAAGTAACAAAAAAAAATCACTAAAAACTTTAATCACGGCCATGAATAAAGTTCAATGACTGTAGTGGACCTATTAAGGTACGAGTCCATTGGTCCGCGGTGGACGCACCGCATGCACGGGCCGAAACGTATTTTGGTTTATTTTGTACGATTTTATAATCCGTGCGTTTCGTGCGTCTATTCCTGGCCCATGAACACGGACCTTTAACGCAAATTGTTACTCAATTTGTTAACATAATTTGAGGTGATGAAAGAATGAAATATTTTGATAATAGATTAATGACCACCTTTAATCATTTTTTGTTCCAGTCATCTCTACGACCGTTACTATCATGTGCGCCGGTAGCTATGGTGGGCTTCGACCGCGGCGCTCACAGTCAGGACATCACCAAAAACATCCAGTACATCACCAATGATAAGATCAAACTCACGCCGGATCCAAAGACAATGAAGTATGTATACTGTCACAGTACTAGGTATAGTTCAACCTGGCTAACCGAGAATCCGGTTTCGTCGGATCACCTTCATAATCAAATTCGGGTTAGAATCTATTTATATATATAAAAGAAAGTCGCGTGTTAGTTACACTATTTATAACTCAAGAATGGCTTTACCGATATGCTTGAAAATTGGTGAGGAGGTAGCTTAGAGCCAGGAGACGGACATAGGATACTATTTATTGTGTTTTTTTTTATTTTATTTTTTTCGAACTTATACCTTGAAGAGTCACTTTTTATTTAACTTACTAATATTATAAATGAGAATGTTTAGATGGATGTGATGAGGATGGATGGATGCGTGGGCTACACTAATTAAGTTTATTATATGTCTACGCGGACAGAGTCGCGGGCGACAGCTAGTTAGCTATAAGAGAGAAAAATGTCGCGGTCTCTTGAACTCTCCTTTATCTAGGTTCAACTGTATTTGACGAGTCTGGAAAACTATAGTTTGTGTGTACTTTTTACATACATTTGAAGTATATAGGTTAGATATACATTACACAATGTTGATTTACATAAGGTCGTCAGTCAATAAGCCAGTTACCTAATGGGTTAATCCATTGTGCGCCTGCCCTGTTCTAATTCTTATGCTCTGTATTGCTTATTGCATTCTGAACTCTTATACCTACCTACTTGTATACGTTTCCACTGTCGAAACATATTAATAAAAAAATATTGACATCTCTATCATTGTCTCTCAAATAACCGAGATAACGATATTATTCTAACTGACTCCATAAAGCAGGAGGTTCGTTCTTCTGTTTGTTTTTTTTATTTTTCGACACCAACTCTGAAATAACAGATTTTCTTACTTTCGAGAGTATTCATGAGGTAACTTTTTTCACTATTTAGTGCATTTTGTTTAAGAATGTTTTTTTTAAGTCGGTTTTCTTTTTTCACTTATGTATATTTTGGTTGAATAATCCCACGATTATAGATGACAAAATAGGAAGGGAAACAAAGATAAGATAGTCCAGTCTACTTGGTTATTATAAAATAAGTACGAATAGATATTGACAAATATATTTTACTTATATCTAGTCAGTTTTATAAGCCTCTATAAATAAAACTTTATTGGACTAACCTATTGAGAATCAAGAGATGTGATGAAACGATTTTTTTAAATTAAAAAAAAAATATAACTAATCTATTAATCGTTGATTTCTGAGACCAAAATATTTATATAAAACATATCAAAACCCCTCTCATTATCTTAGACAAACATAGATAACAATTATTTTTTTACAGGGATTTCGGTCTCAGAAATCAACGGTAAATCCTTGTTTGTTTGAACAAATATGGATTTCAATTAATACAAAATATTAGTCACATTTTCTACGTTATATATAACTAAGTATGTAGACAGAAAGACGTTTAAATTACATGTTGATTAGTACAAAGTCCACACAGCTCTGTGCAGACGCAGCAGATAATGACCATTACACCGCCTCATGATCGATATAAAGACATTGCTTCGTTTTAAAGAATAGTATGATATTAATTTACATAATTTAAAATTAAAATCTCGCAATAAAAGTGGTCCTTTGTTTGCGATAATTTAAAGAGAAAACATAGTTATTTTGCTAAAAAATCAATCTGCCATTACTTTTTACTTTTAATACATAGGTCACAATATAATGGACCTATATTTTTTAATTATCAATGACGTGTGTCGTTTATTACATTGTTTCATTAAAATAAACCTTATTCAGTTCAGACATTGAACCTTTATAAGTGGACAGGCTAAAAGCCGTGTTTTTTGTGCCTATTTGATTTTTGACCTTTGGATCCTGACGGTAGCCTTTGTTAGCGATGGTAAAGAGTCGAACTAATAATAAACAGAATTGACATTAACAGGCGCTATTAAGTCTGAACGAAGTAAAAGTTATTTTCATGCAAGCACGCTTTAGACTATTCATTTTCCATTGTCATCATAATATATTAACCGACGAGTTTACAATGTTCTTGTCTTTTCAAAGAGAATGAAAGAGATGTTACATTATCAGGTTGGACAAGCAGCTGAATCGTCCGATCTGTGTTATGATAAACTGGCTGTTAGCGCGACAGAAGCACGTGCTGAAGTACGCCTCGCTCTACCTCGAGCAGGGCTTCGATGTCGTCTCCGTGTCCTGCACACCCTGGCAACTCATGTGGCCAATGAAAGGATCCCAGGTAACGAATTGTCAACGAAGAGATTTGTGTTCATTGCGCATACAGATTGGAATAGGTTAGCGGTGTGTGTTTCTGACGTGAGGGCCTTCAATAGTACGGAGATGCCATTTTCAGATCACACTAGAATATATTTTTATATTGTGGTTGCAAGAGAGCAAGCAACCGCTGATGAGTTGCTTATATTTAATCATCGGGGTAGGGTGGGAAGAATGTTTCCCCTTTCTATGCGTCCCCTCCTCCGTCAAAACCACTTCCCCTCCCATCAACTTCTTATAAGAAAAGAATGGGAAGGGAAGATTACTAAAATTAAATATCTGCTTGCACCGTGATCAAACGCCAGTTGTTTTGTTATATAAAAAAAATTACAAAATGTCCAAATGTCTGTGCTGTTAAAGAATCTGTGTAACATAGATATAACTAATTCAGCTGGTAGCTGGTGATCTGATGCGACTGCTGTCTGCCAACGAGAGCGAGCAGCCGCTGGTGGTGCACGGCTTCTCTGTGGGCGGCTACCTGTGGGGCGAAGTCTGTGCCCAAGTCATGTCAAACAAGGACCTGTTAGTATATGTTTTATAGTATATAATACTACTTTAATAGTAATATTAAAAATAAATCACAGAAGATGTTCATAAAACTTTGATGCTTTTTCGTTTTGTTCGAATAAGGGTCCGTTCACACAGACCGTGGCGGAGTGTAAAGCAGATTTTTATCGCAAATAAAATTGAGCTTTATATGGTTGTAACTAAGTTAAATTGTACTTTTCACGTTTTTTAATATTTATACTTGATATAAAAGACGTGCGAAGTGTAATTAAATTTTGTTTAAATTTCTTGGATAAATTTAATCTGCTTTTGATCCTGGTCTGTCTGAACGGACCTTTATATATGTTTTGGTCGTGGAATCCCAACACTAATTTTGTATTGTTTTTCATTGTAATAAATATTTAAATGGTATATCTGCAGATACCAGCCGGTGTTGGACCGCGTGACGGCGCAGGTGTGGGACTCTGCTGCTGATATCACGGAGATCACAATCGGCGTACCCATCGCTGTCTTCCCAAAGAACAAGATCATGCAGAAAACACTCAAAGCTTATATGGAGTGAGCATCTTATTAATATTATAAAATTCTGAATTTAAAATTTAACATAGATTTATAACATAATCTGGAAGAACACATAGACAACTTATTGTTTTTTTTTTAATTGGAGCGGACGGAGTCGCAGGGTATACAGAAGCTAGTATCAACTAAGAACATTAAAAGTTCAATGGCTTCAATTTCCATTAAACTAATAATATTTTTAAACATAACTGTATGTAATATTTTATCTATATTATAGTAAATAGAATATGACCTAAAGGTCTATGTTACCAGGTCATAAAATTAAAAAAAAAAACAGTTAATAGAACTGTCATTTTATTAGGTCGAATTTTAAAAGTAAATACATAAATAATAATGTATTCAGTCCAGACATATTATATCAAGAATATATATATCACTAATGATAACATACGTCTGTAAAAATATTAATTATTATATATTATTATCATGTTTACGTAATATGTTACTACAAAATAGAAAATTCATAAATAAATCCTCATTCATATCTTGTCTGGTTGATAATATTTGCTGATTAATTGCAGTGGAAAATTACATGACTTTCATTTTGTATTATGAAAGTCAATAGGTCAAATTTAACAGTGTTAGAGCCCGCTTTAACATCTTCGCACGAATTGTCCCGGCTCGCCCGGTGAAATACCACGACCACACAGAAGACACGCGTCGAGTGGAAGCTATTCCGCGTACAGTCTGATGAGTGTGCGTCCCGGAGGCCTAATTTAATCCTCTTTCCCTTCCCACCCTTTTTCTTATAAGGAAAGGATGGTAAGCGGAAGTGGACTTTCCGGATGAGGGGATGCATGGAAAGGAAAAATATTTTCTTTCTGTGCATCCTCTCCTCCGTCGATTAAAGGTAGACAACGCATATGTAATTGCGTATGTCTATGGGCAACGGCCACTTCGCTATATCAGCGATTTCAGGTGGCCGCTCGCTCGTTTGCCACCGTATGATATAAAAAAAATCCGCCGTAAATTTTTTTCGCTTGTACAGATTTCTCGCTTATAGTGGATCGACTGTATATCACAGTTAGTTTCCACTGCAGTGTGACTTGTATTTATATATATTGTCATCGCTTACATTCTCTTTGACAAAACAGAGACAACATGTGTCTTACAACACCGTTAGAACATTGGATAAATGTTTTATATGAAATTTAAAAATCACATCGGTATAGTATTTTTCGAATAAATTGGAGACTCGGAACACAATTTTAAAATTAAGTTATGCGGCGCAGGGTACTATAGCGCTAACTCAAGGTCAGCCGACAGCATTTAAAAAAATATCATCATCAGCTCACTATACGTCCCCACTGTGAAGCTCCAAGCCTACCCTTAGGTGTGACTAGGCCATAGTCAAAGCTGGTCCAGTGCGGGTTGACTTCACACATATTTTAAAATTTCTCTACAGATATGTGCAGCATCACGATGTTTTCCTTCTCCGTAAGAACGTTACATAAATGTACATTTGTAAATCGAAAAACACATTGGTATATGACGGGAATCGAACGTAAGACCTGCAGATTACAAGTGCTTTACCCCTGAGCCACCGTCACTCATGTAAAAATACTATAATGAGAAAATTTATTTTATAAGTCAATTACTTAACCCTTGAACTACTCAAGCTAATATTATCTCGTCGTATATTAACAGGTACCACATGAAGACGTTCCATGATGTTGCGACGACTCACTACATCAGATCATCTCAGCTGTTCCACACGAACCTGTGCCGCGCGCCCGCACTCTTCCTGCTCTCCCGCAGCGACCCTGTCGGCGCTGAGAGGAGCAACCGCGCTGTCTACGACTCATGGTGCAAGATGGGCATCAAGGTATGAATATTTACCATGCATGATGAAAGAAAGTGTTAGGCAGAAAATCCGACAGTGTGCCGGTGTACTGGCAACACTTGCCTAAAATGTCGACGTTTATATCCTCTCACTAATCATTCTGACACTTTACTTTGTAACAAAAGAGCGGCATTCGCGCCAAAGGATTCTAACTAATAATGTCTGAAAAAAAGAAAGAAAAAAAAATTTTTTTTTACCATATTAAAATAATAAACAAGACACAAACTTGATATAAAATTGTGGCAAAAAGAAAGTTCAGCTAAGTAGATGCATATGTTTAAAATGCATACCATAGTAAGAAAATACGGCGAATCACAACCAGCAAGAGTAAGTGGGGTTTATGGAACTTTCAATCTATAGAAACTAAATGTGTATAATAGTTTCTTACTTTAACCCTTAAATGGACGATTTTTTTTTTACGTTTTAAAAAAATATATTTGTGTAATCATTTATTTTTAATGCATAAAAATATTGGATAGTGCCAACATTAAAAAAAGTACAAAATTCGTTCAGAAATAAGAACTAGTTGTCAAAATTAACAAAAAAATAAAATAAAGATAATTTTATCTGTGATGTTTAGTATGTTGTTTAAAAACAACATTGTCCATTTAAGGGTTAAAAAAACAATCAGAGCCCTTTGCAACCGCCTGCATGAAGAGTGAATGGCCTTGAAGAAGGAAGTATAGGAAGGTTTTTTTTAATTATTTATCTCGCAGTAGTAATAATAGTAATTTAGTAATTTTTCTCTTTTACAGTGTACATGGCAATGCTGGGACAGGTCTCCGCACGTGCAGCACTTCACCAAGCACCGCGAGGAGTATGTCCAGCTGCTGATGGCTCACCTCAGGGAACACACGCATCTCGCCCACAAGTCGCGCGCCCACGCCTAGTGCCTGGCGCCTAAATACCCCACGCAGATAAACCCCTCTAAAACTATGAAGTGAAGTGCTAGACAAATAACTTTTAAAAAGGGATGGCAGAACAATTTTTATAAAATAATGAAAAATATAATAAAAGTACAGAAAATGTCAATTTAACAAAAATTGTAATAAAATATGTCGAACTATTTTTTTGTCGACTAAAAAAATTACTTTTTCGTCTTTAAGTTTTTATTTTTGGACGTTTTTGAATAATTCAATAATTTAAGTAATAAAACATGTATTTTCTGCCTACCACTCTAGGTCACAGGCGTGTTTTTTTGTAATAAAAATTGTGGAAGTAAGACCGACAAGGATATATGTCTGGAGGCATAAGTCAAACTAAATTATGACAGTTCACTAGCGCCCTCCTGTCAATGTCAAAAATGTCAGAATATCTCTTTTATCCTGTAACTGTTGTCTTTTTTTATGCCTTGTATGTTGTCCTTGTTTAATTTTATTAAAGTTTTTGCCATCCCTAATCTAGATTAAATTATAATACTAAAGAATTTAATAGGTTATCTATGTATCCTTTCTTAGCTTTTATATCTAAAGGCTCTCGATAAGCTTAAAATTAGGTTACGTCTTATGTTAAAGTTACTTTTAAAATATTTTGTTTTTGTGCAATTTGTTACATAAAAAGTTTTTAATAAGCCATTACACCTTTTTGTTTATAGTATTCCGATCTGATATATAACATTTTTGAACTATATCTCTTATTTATCGTATATTTTAGTTGAAATGTAATAAATATCAATTGGATTATATACAAAATTGTCAAAAGTGTGTTTTCGTGCTTCAATTTATTCATTCCGTATAAAAGTAATAAATACTGTCTATAAAACATGTTTTAAATATTGTTGTAAACATGTTTCTAGCAAATAAAACACATAAACGAAACATATACGAATGTCTTTATATAATTTGTCTTATTACGCGCCTAGTTGAAATGAAAAGCAATATTTTATAACCACGTGTGATTTTTGTAGTTTATAAGATTTTTACACACATGCATATTGTATTAGATTTTTTTAAATAAATACATTACTTTTAAAACAGACTTTATTTAACCCTAGTGAACCAGCAAATAATGAAACGAATGTTTTGAATATTAAAACAAAAGATTTTAGAATAATAGCTCAGTTAATTTAAGCGACATTTGGTTTGTTTCGAACACATTATATGGGAAACATAAGGCCAAGTCGATACCGAATTTGAAAAAAATATTCAAGGTCAAAAATCATATAGTTAAAATTTTAGAAATGGTGGCTCGTTAAAAACAGTACGTAAAGGTTTTTTTATAGATAATTTTATAATCGGCAACTCGGTCGAAGGTAATTTTTGATAAAACTTATCATTTCGTCGTAAAACCCAATGTTGACCCTTGACCTTCATTACTTTTTTCAAAATACGAGGTCGATGGAAACTTCGGGGTAAATATATTCCTAAAGGTGTTTCGAATTTTCCTACCAAATAAATCGTTGTAGCTTTAATATTCAATTTGAGCGGGTTGTTTGGCTAAGCTAAAAAAGTTAAATAGAAAAAAGAAGTATCATGGTCGAATAATTGAGTTGAAAATTCGTCATCTCTACCTAACCTTTAAATTATATGCTAAAATGTTAATTACAGTTATTGGTATTGGCTAGACACTCACCTTTGTGACTCACTATCAAAAGCATGTATGATAAAAATAATAAATTGCACGACTCGATACAATGCTTTTGCTTGTTTACGAAAAAAACACATTTGACAGATAACGGGAATATGGCGGGAACACGCGTGTTGTTCGTGTTCGCGCTAAAAATGGCAAAATGAATTCAGTACGTTTCGCGACGCCATCGATGGAGGCGTATTTATTCATGTTTTTATAATCTGTAATTGCAACCAGTGAGACTTATGTTTACATTTTGTATTTTGATTCATTTGTTTTATTCGAAGAATAACAGTTACTAAAGGAACTACGAGGTTTTTTTATTCTTATTAAAGAATTTTATGAAAGCGTGATACTAAATAACGGTGAGTTTCATTGCATAATAACAAGAATATTGCGTACGTTTTAATATGCTTTTAATTATTTTTATGATCCTAGCATCCTTTTTATACTAACTACTAGCGTTTAATGCCTAAAAATACTGAACTTGGAAATAAATAATACTTTTGGCTGATATTTTGCAGTCGCAAGAAATATTAAAGTAGACATAATAAAATCACGCAACTTTCCCAACAGGTATTTTGCAACTACGACACCAATTTTATATCTATTAAAATGTTTAGGTCGACTTTAACTTGAAATTAAGGACGAAGGCTTAGTTATTATTAAAATTAATTACCTTTCAGAACTGCACTAACCGGTTGTACTTTGATGAAAAAAAAAACGATAAAACTGATTTATAACAAAGGAACGATTATCAAGTAAATAAATCTATATGTATGGAAATAGTAAATTAGAGTTTCTTTCCGTAATAAAAAGTCTAGAAATTAATGAGTTTTTTTAATCTTTTATGTAAAAATTAATTAACAGTATAAGAAAAAAAAATTGTTACCAACATCATTATCAATAAAACATATACAACAACTAGACGACTAATATAAGTAGAGGTAACAAACAAAAAATATGAACAACACTTCTCTCAAATTTCCTTTGACGACTAAGGGTGCGTTCAAACTGCAAACGGAAAGCAGATTTTTTGTCGTAAATAATGAGATTGGTACAATATTTTATTTTATTTTACACTTTTTTTATATTAAACGTAAAAAGTAGTTATAATTAAAATTAAACCTTCTCCCAATCGTATAAAATAATATTCGCGATTGAATTGCTCTGTTCTGCACCCTGGTTCATGTAAACGGCCCCTACAATGCAATTAGGACATAATATATCATAGCAACATAAATTACGTGTTAAGTAGCTCTTATGGTTATAGTGTGCTTTACTTACTGACCTTAAGTGGTAATCGAATTTAATTCTTTGTCTACCCACACTGTGCCTGAAGTAACAGGGCAGGAAGATGAAGAGTTACTTAAGAACTTGGTAGCACATAAGCCATACCTCGTTCATCAAATAAACCGACATCGTAATTGACATCTCATTACTTCCAGACATTAAAATGCAATTTGGGTCACATAGAGCGGTAATTACCAAATGTCAAAGTTTAAGGTCTACAATATTCGCTACATGAATAATACAATGTTTACGCGAAAGAATGCACGCAAAAAAGGTTTTATATAACGAGAAATCGAATTGATCTTTTGTAGGTCACTAAAGAACGTACGGACTATTTCAAGCTAGTTAGGGTAAGACAACATTTTCAAGCGGCGACTGCTGAGATCCGTGTATGGCAATCGTCAATTGCTGACCACCCTACGCCAGAGTGCTTGGAACGATCGTTACTGTTTGAAATAGCCCGTGTGTGGCAGCGTTTATTTACTTGTTCTTAATAAATGCCAGTTTAATTTGACTTAAGTTGTAAAATAAAGACTACAGAGTTCAGTAACTATAAATAAATTATTGAACAAAATACTATAAAATATATAAAATTCTCGTGTCACAATGTTAGTTACCATACTACTCCGAAACGGCTTAAACGATTTTTCATGAAATTTTATACAAAATTCAGCAGGTCTGTGGCTACTTTCTATATTTAATCCCGCGCGGACGGAGTCACGGGCGACAGCTAGTATGCTATATAATAAATAATAAATGAATTAAATTTATTTAAATATCTTTAAGGAAAATTGCAAAATAATATAAAAATTTAAAATATAGTTATTTCAAGCGGGTATAGATATCATCGCACAGTAATGAGTAGTACTTCTGCAAAATATATTAAAAATACATTTGATATCTTTTGTTCACTTAATACTAGCTGTCGCCCGCGATTCCGTCCGCGCGATATTAAAAAAAACAAATTAGCCTATGTTCTAGATTATTTTCTACATGTATACCAAATTTTAGCGAAATTCCTTTTACATTAATAATATTAGTAGGATATTACATTTAAAAAAAATATTTTTCATTCCACAGGACTTCCAAAAATGGGAGAAATAGCGAGAATTTTTACATTCGCTGTTTGCCAGGGGAGATCAAGCCACAGTTTAAAAAAGCAGGTAAATTAAAACATTCACCATAACAAACAAAATACACCAAAAATTAAAAACTATACATTTGACAGGCTAGTGATCCCGTAGTTACTTAGTTACGCGTTAGAAATATTTTGAAGATTTTATTCCGTGCAGCTGTACTCCTCAAATCCTATGTCTCTATGAACTTTGAAATTGCATATTTTTCATATCATCTAGTTATCAACGTGTTTGAAGCGACCTCTAGTGTGCACTTCTCCACTGGTTAGCTGCGATCGAAATGCGCACACGCAGGACATCACCAGGAACATCAAACATATCAGCAACGACAAGATCAAACTCTCTGTAGACCCTCAAACTATGAAGTGAGTACAAACTAGTTGTAGCACGCGACTCCGTCCGCGCGGAATTAAAAAAAACTTAATTAGTCGCCTATGTGTTGTTCCAGACTATGTGTATCTATGTCAAATTTCAGCGGTGTCCATACAGCCGTTCTGGAGATACCATCAAAGGAACTTTCGCATTTATAACATTAGTAAGATTAACCGTGAGTTTCCAAGACCTAAATCTCCGTATGAAACATTATATCGTCATCTTTGACAAAACAGAGATAACAATATGTTTTAAATTTTGGTCTCAGAAACCCACGGTAAGCAACGCATGAGCAAATACAAATGTCTATGAGCTACGGCCACTTCGCTATCTGATTCGCTTGATTCATTTGTAGTGAAAATTCTTCACTTATTTTTGCATTGTAACGAGAGGACTAACATTGTAAACAAAAATAATGTTGAAACAATTCTAATCTCTATACGAATCTTACAACTTACCCTTTTCTCTATAGATGTGCTGAACCAATAAACAAACCCATGTGTATAATGCTTAGCTGGTTACTATCCAAACCAAAGCACGTGATGAAGTACGCGGAGCTTTACTTAGAACAGGGCTATGACGTCATCTCCGTGTCCTGCACACCATGGCAACTCATGAGACCCATGAACGGAGTAAAGGTTAGAAAAAAAACTATAATAGAGATGTTATTTTAACAGTGTTTATCTTACAGGCGGTTCTTTGTTTGATAACGGATCAAGGACTTACCGTGGTTTTCCAAGACCATAATCCCCGTTTAAAACATACTGTTATTTCTGTTTTGTCAAAGATAATGATGGGGATAACGATATGTTTTGTACAGAGCTTTCTTTTTTTTATATAATATCATAAGGTGGCAAACGAGCGAGCGGCCATCTGAAATCGCTCATTTACACTTCCCATCCTTTCCTTATAAAAAAGAGGTTGGGAAGGGAAAGAGGACTAAATTAGGCCTCCGGGACGCACACTCATCAGACGAAACGCGGAATTGCTTCCACTTCACGCCTGTCTTCTGTGTGGTCGTGGTATTTCACCGGACGAGCCGGGCCGATTCGTGCGAAGATGTTAAAGCGGGCTCTACCATTGTTACAGTGGTAGAGCCCGCTTTCTGTCAGAATCCTACGGTTAGGGCCTTATCATAAAAAAAACTAAGCTTAAACATATATTAACCTTTTTATACCGTGACTATAACGCGTTTTTTTTCACAAATTATGGCTATTTAAAACATTATTATGCGCAGCATTACGAAATTTCTTGACCAATAAATAATGAAATACTATTACCGGAAGTAATATGGTGATACATATTTATAATAAACCCTTTGACGTCCATAATATCCATCACCGGCGTTCAAAGGGTTAAAACACGTGTTTAACTATATTTTTTGAGGTTAACGGACATGTGCGGAGGGATGATGATGAATGTGGATGGCTACAAAGGTAGATGAAGACCAAAAAAAGTATGGGATGACTGTGTGAAAGAAGATATGCGTAGGAGGGGGTTAGATTCGGATATGAAGGCTGATAGAGATGTATGGAGGAGTAGTACATATTGTGCCGACCCTCAATAGGGATAAGGGCAGGTTGATGATGAATACAGTTATATTTTTAACATTTGTAAAATGGAATCATTAATGATTGTTTAATTACGTTAATTATTTTCATTAGTTATCATTATTTTCATAAATATAATATAAAATATTTTGCAGCCTTTGAAATGTATAGCTCAAAGTCCTTTTCAAACGTATAAACAATTTTTTGTTTGCCATCTACATAAATAAATCTTAATATAAGTTTACTTAGTGACTAAATAGTGAGCTAATCAAAATTTTAAATTACCATCGAAACAATAAACTTGAAGTCAAATACAATTAAGCAGATATACCTAATTTGAAGGATATAATATATAATTTTGAATTTTAAATTTCCAAAGCAATCGAGTCATTACCCTTTGAGAATAATAATGTCATTAGGTATCGTCTGCGACATAGTCCGCGCTGAGTCAAACTTAATTAGTAGCCTATATGTTCTTCCAGACTATGTTCTACATCTATGCCAAATTTCACCAAGACCCATAGAGCTGGTCCTGAGATATCTTTAAACAAACATCCATCTAAACTTTCGCATTTATTATAGTAAGAAGTAAGCTTTGAGTCAAATAAAAAACTTTGTTATTAAATTAAAAAAAAAGATGGTACTCGTCAGCTTTTTTAATGGCTTTTTACCTTACTCTTGAAAGGATTGAGGGCTTCTGACTGATACTGACGCCGCGACGTTTATTTTCCATAGGTAGTAGCGCGGGACCTAATCAAGTTTATGTATCACAACGGTGACAAGTTCGTGGTGCATGGCTTCTCTGTGGGAGGCTACGTGTGGTCAGAAGGTCTCGTCTATGCTGTTAACGATAAGAAATTGTAAGTATTGTTTTTGACGTACAATTATTTTTCCTAGCAGGTGTTGGATTAAGTGTTTCCCAGTGACTGGGGGGAGATTTCTATGGCGCCCATATTTACCATGCCTTTATGAGGGGGGAGGAAATAGGGTAATGTGTGACTGTAATTTGCAGGCCTTGAGAGTTACTTTCTGTCGAGCTCTTGGTGGAACTGGTTTCAAACAATCGCAGCAAGATGTATATTATATTAAGACTTATAGGTGTTTTGTGCCGAGCGTTTCATTTACTGATCTTGGGTTTCTGAGACCAAAATCTCTCTATAAAACATATCGTCATCCCTATCATTATCTTTGACAAAACTGAAATAACAATATATATTAAAGGGGGATTTTGGTCACTAAGATTAAACGTCCAAAGATTAGTTATCTCAGAGGGGTCATGAAATGACAAATTTTGATTTGATTTTGATCCCCACGGTAAAGTTTATCTCTTGCTGTTTTTCTTTTATTAAAATACCCACCTGTTTGTTGGGGCAAAGAGCAATACGACGTTAAAGGAACACAATTAACACCTACTTTTTGTTCGTATTGTTTGAATATATCAATTGCGTAAACGTCTAACATGTGAAGATGACGTCATTCACCTTGAATTATAACACAAGACTACTATATAAATGAATAGTAAACAAAAACTTTACCAAAAATAGGTTTATTTTGAAATCTCGTATAAGTGTAAAAGGTTACATGAAGTAAAGTCAAGCTGTCCTATTTATATCGTATAAATAAACGTACAAAGTATGAGTCACAGATAACAGTGGTAAAGCCCGCATATGTTTCAATGGGCCCGATCGACCAGTGCAATATCACGACCACACATAAGACAGACGCATGCTGGACGCCTAATTTTACCTCTCTTTCCCTTCCCACCCTTTTCTTATAAAGAAGGTATTAGAAAGCAATATGAATTTGGCAGAGGAGAGGACGCATAGAAGGAGAAAATATCCTTTTTCTGTGCATCCCTCCTGTGTCGAATAAAGGTAGGATACACATGTTCAAATGTGTATGGTCAACCGGCACTTGCTTGTTTGCAATAATTTGTTACAAAGCAATTTGGCCTTGTTTTTTTAGCTGATTATTTACTCGTTTTTGATGGTTAGATACCAGCCGGTGCTGGACCGTGTGGAGGCGCAGGTGTGGGACTCAGTGGCGGACCTGACTGCCGTCACTGTTGGGGTACCGTACGCGCTCTTCCCCAACAATAAGTTCCTGCGTAGTACTTTGCATTCCACTTTAGAGTAAATACACTTTTACTTCATTGTAGTTATAAAAGGCACTTATTGTTGCAATAAAATTTTACCTTGTAACTATCTATCAACCTTTTCAAATGTAAAAACTGTCGATAGATATCTTTGTTAAGTTCTAATTTTTATCATTACAGTCATTTCACTAAATATTGCCCACGACTCCGTTCGAACGGAATTAAAAAAAAGTGTTTGGTAGCCCAAGAGTTCTTCCAGACTTTATCGAAATCTGATAAGCTGTTCTGGAGATGGCTTGTTACAAACATCCATCTATCCATCCATCTTAACTTTCGCTTTTATAATATTAGTAAGATTTTAATCATCCATTCTATGTTTTACAGATAACATTTTACATCCACAGATTATACTTGAAAGTATTCAGTTCAGTGACAGCTCAGTACAAGCTTGCATCTGACACGTATTATTCCACACCTTGCCGCGCACCCGGTCTCTTCCTGCTGTCCAGTAGCGACCCTGTCGGCGCAGAAACAAACATCCAAAACGCTCATGATACATGGCTGCAGATGGGAATCAAGGTAAACTCTAATTATGACATTATATGACGTAAATCTGACAATACGTGACGAAATTCTGACAGTTCATGATTTCGTTTTGCTAATATTTGCCACCTTTACTGACTTTCTGGTTACATCTGACTAAAATCTAGCAATAGAAAAATTAGTAATTTCTTTTAATACATACTATAAGATGTCTTCAAAATTAGATTTTTTTTAGTACTATTGTTTATATCTATACAGTGCACCTGGAAGTGCTGGAAGAACTCTCCTCACGTGCTGCACTACATGCACCATCCAGAAGAGTACCGCGACCTGCTGCTAGCTCACCTGCGCGAACATACAACAGTACTCCGCGAGAGAGCCTCTGAGAGACACCATGACAGTATCCATGAAAAGAAACGAGCTACCGCCTAACTACTCTGTGATAATTTACTTCGTATTTTTATTATTTAACTTCGACTTAAATTCGGATTTTTACTAAATAAAATCTAATTTTAAAGAAATTCAGACCAATCCTTACGTAACTTTAATTTAGGTTAAGGTTTGTGGTTATGAAAAACTTATAAAAACATATTTAGTATTAATAGGTTTCGGTTTGTTTTTTTTTGTAAATAAGAAATAAAATTATATTTGGATATATCAAAATAACTTTTATTTAATATCCTCGAGCGTAACATGTATTATATTTTTGAATTTTAGGAAATTCAAATTAAATAAATACGAATACCGATATTGCCGAAATATTGGTCGAGACCAAGACAGTAAAATGAACATACTTTCGATCAAAAAGTTCTTTAGATAAATAGAAATAAGTAATAAAACGCGTATAATTCAAATTATTTATTTTACAATCATATACATTAAAAAAGCTACACATTCTTATATTTCTTCCTCTTGCTTGCCGTTTTATTTTTATTGACTTTTTGTTTTGGCAACTTTATTCTTTCGCGGGCCGCCATTTTGAGTCGCCATGTTCGTTGATTCTTTTTCTTCTCATCTTTGACAGTTTGTCTATGGATCTCCTGCTGAGCTCGTAGTTTATGGTTATTCCTCATTTTATGCTGACTTCCTTCTTTAGCTGTTAATCCTGTATATTCACCTACATCTGCTGTTTTTGGCATCATCACGAATTTACCTGCGCCATTTTGATCTTTGAATTTCTTACCGAATTTACCTTTTCTCATGTAACTCTCGTCTGGTGCGGTTTGCATCTTTCTCTTTCTATTCTTACCGCGTTCTTCTGAGTCTGTCTCTTTCTTAGCCAATGGATTATTTGCTATAGATTTTTCTAATCTCTTCTTTCTTGCATTTAATGCTGTACGATCTTCGATGGAAAATGACACTATAGGTCGCTATAAAAAATAATCGTATTAAAATATACTCGCAAAATATTGAAAAAAAAACAACTGCTTTCTTTATATTAATATTTTAAAATTTTCCACAGACAATTATTATTTTTTAATTATGTAATGCTTCAGATATAAAATAGGTAATTTATTCATAGCTAGATTCTCTACTTACATTATTCCTGTCTATAACATCTGGGTTGTTGTTTAGTTTCCGCAGACATGTGAGGGCGTCCTCGTGCCGCGTGAACATTACAAAACCGTAGCCTTTAGACCTGGAACAAATTTCTTCTATTTAAATAGCTGTATAAGTTAAAGATAGAAATTTTTTTTTATATCATAAGGTGACAAACGAGCGAGCGGCCACCTGAAATCACTGAAATAGCGAAGTGACCGTTGCCCATAGACATACGCGATTGTGCGGCGCGGGCGAGCCGGGACAATTCGTGCGAAGATGTTAAAGCGGGCTCAACCACTGTTAAAACATAATAGAACGTCGGTAGTTCAAGAGTTAAACATTTGTCTTGTAATCTGCTGGTCCTGGGTTCGAATTCTGCCATTTACCAATGTATATTACGATTTACATATGTACATTTATCCGACGTTCTTACGGTGAAGGAAAATATTGATGCTGCAAATCTGCGAAGAAATTCAAAGATATATGAAGTCAACCCGCACTGGGCTATGGTTGACTATGGCCTAGTCTTACTTAGGGTATGCTCCGAGCTCCTCATTGAGGAAGTATAGTGAACTGATGATGATAAGTTATAGGTATACTCTTCCTAGAGTCGTGCTTATGATCCCAGGACCTTTACAGTCTCATATACCTCATTTTTCCCATGAAAAGGCACCTTTTAATTCCCCCACCCTTAGTACAAAAGATATTAGGTAACTTACGGATGTTTCCCGGAGCGGTCTACAGGAGCCCTGAGGTCCCTCATGATGCGTGCTTCACCTATGACAGCATGTTTGCCCGCAGCGCGCACGCACTCGCGTCGCAAGCGCCCGTCATCCCACTGCGCCGGTAAGTTTGCTACTACTAGACGGTAGCGAGATACGAATCTGTACATAAAAATAAAAAAAATGTAAAAATAAACATCCAACTTTCAGATTTTTTTAGTTAGAATGCTTTGACGTGAATGGCGCGCTTTTATTACAAAGTCAAGTGTCAGAACAATTAGTGAGGGGACATAAACGTCGACATTTTAGTAAGGCTAGTGTTGCCAGTACACCGACAATGTCGGATTTTCTTCCTAACAAAAGATAGATTGTAAATATTTATTACACGGGTATAATATTGAATTCCCTAAGAAGTGTTTTTTTAATTTAACCTTATTTCTTATTAATATAAATGTAAAAGTTTTGATATACGACTCAAGGGAATTCAATGATTTTTTTTTTATATGTAGAACACTCTTCGGAGCAAAAGTTACTGCATACTAATTAAAAAAAATATCTGCAATTATTTAACTATGAGATATATCGAGTATAACTAGATTAATTGTAAAAATGATCTGTTTGACATAATTACCTGTTCAAGTTCTTCAACATTTGAGTTTTACTGCGTTCAAGTGCGAGTCTCTTAGCCATGTCGGAGGCTGACACACCCACAGCAGCACGAGTGCCCGCGACCACCACTACAATCACACATCATATTAAGGGTCAGTAGAGACTGATAGGAGTGAAAGAGAGACATATTTGGAGTAACCAGACAACCTCAGGCATCAGTGGCTCAGGGTTATGCACTTGTAATCTGCAGGTCTTGGGTTCGAATCCCGCCGTGTACCAATGTGTTTTTCCATTTACATATTTAAAATTATCTGACGTTTTTACGGTGAAAGAAATCATCGTGCTGTACATATCTGTGAAGAAATTCAAAGATATGTGTGAAGTCAACTCGCACTGGGCTATGGTTGACTATGACCTTTTTTTTTAAAAGGGGAATGCGTTACGCATACCGGGTGCCTCGGGGAAAGCCACTCCGGTTATGTGGGACTCTCTCCATATCCCTAAAGGGACATGGAGCCTACCCACTAAACCCCCTCTTGTTCCCTCTACTCACTGTTTACGGGGGTGTGGACACATGTAAATACTCTTCACACACATGGTTGCTTATGACCTAGTCACCTCTGACGTACTGTAGGCTCGGAAACCTTCACGGAGACCACTTACTCGTTTGCCACCTTATAATATACAAAACGCTCACATCTTTGAGTTTAAGAATTTAAATGTAAAAAATATCGTTACATCAGCTTAAGCTGGTCTTTGGATTGTGCTTAAATACTCTGTATTTTAGAAAACTTATACGAATTTTCCCAAAAACTAAAAATAATAATTGATTTTTAACCAAATACCTCCTTCTTTAACTAGATAGAGGTTTCTGTTGTCTTTAGGCTGCTTTTTACTGCCCTTCTGAAGATTCTCTCTCTTGAGCGCCGGCTTCACCTGGACAACCTGACCCTCAAGGCGAAGCTGCTCCGTCGGCAGAGATAGGAACTTCTCTGCGTCAGCTTGATTCTAGTAAATTGAGTTAGAGAAAGTCAGAAAACGAAATCTATGTACTTGATTGAGTTGGCACATAGAGTATAAGAGTATTGTTATTGGTGACGTGCCAACTCAATTGCTAAATACTATACAACTTTTATATTATAGAATTAATAAAAAATTATCATTGTTTTATTATTATCGAGTTTCTTAAAAATGTCAAGAATCGATTATCAATTCAAAGCAACTTTAAATTAATATAAAAAAAATGGTCTTGACGGATGGACGGACGGACAACAAATAGATCCTATAAGGGTTCCGTGTTTTTCCTATGAGGTACGGAACCATAAAAAATGAAAGTTGTAGTCAAATTACACTCTTATTTTAAATTTTCATAATATTTTTAGTGACAACACAACTGATACTTACAACAAATTTAACAAATCCAGATCCTTTTGAATGTTCAGTCAACTTATCAACACAGATGAGTGCGTACTTCACAGGTCCAGTCTGTTCAGCAAACTGTCTCAGCTGATCATCGTCCACACTGAACGGTACATTGCTGACAAACACTGTTAGACCATCTTCAGCATCATTCAGTTGTATACTGAAAATATATTCACATTTAATTATATATTTACCCACAAAGCAAATTATTTGACAACATTTTCAGGTACATCATCATCATCAGCTCACTATACGTCCCGACCGAGGGGCAAGGAGCCTACCCTAAGTTGAGGGTGATTTTTATGCACATAGTATAAATTAAATTTAAGTTTGTTATAACTAGTGGCTATTTATCATTATGTGTTATAATTTAAATAGAATCAGGATTTTAAAACATAATTGTTATAAAATTACTTAGTTCATAGCTAACAAAAGAAAGAAAAAAATATTCTATAACCTAAAAATAACATTAAAATAATAAATAACAATACAGTCAAACCAGAATAAGCGAGAGTCTAAGGGACCATGACATTTTTCTCAATTGCACAGAGTAAGGGATTTTTTTTATAACAGAAGGGGGCAAACGAACAGCGGGAACACCGAGGTGTTCAACGACGCCCATGGACATCAGCAATACCAGAGAAACCGCAGATGCGTTGCCGGCCTTTTAGGTGGTGATAAGCTCGCTTCTTAAAGGACCCTAAGTCGTAGCGGAGATGTAAAGGATTCTCGCATATCCAGATTCCAATGTAATATTGTACCGTTTTTTCTCAGCTACAGCACTGGTCACACTCTTTTCATCATCCATTTCTTCTTCATCATCAATATCCTCGTCATTGCTTTCATTGTCATCATCATCATCCTCTTCATCTTCTTCCTTATCTTCATCAGACTTCTCATCTTCATCACTGTCATCAGAACCATCATCTGATTCACCTAATTAAAAATATACATTAATGCTATGAATCAATTTTCAATTATTAACAACTAAATTATTAAAATCTAAAAACCAACTAGTGTTCAAGCATCAATAGCCTAATGGTTAATGGGATGACGGATCATGTGGTCGGGGCTTCGAATCTGACTATCCTAGCAGAAGCATAGAGATTATGTACTTGGAATGGTTCAAGAAATATTAGTAAATTAGCAAAAATCTGTTAACAAAGTAAAATTCAAAATAAGGCCCAATATACACAAGGCAACATAGATATTTGAAAACTGCCGATTTTAGTCGCTAAGCGACTCACGCGATACAGGGTCATATAGGTTCGTACACAGCAAGCATCAACATTGTGTTCTTGTAC